CTACGATTCTACTCTATTTGGGGTATAGAAGGGGTCCGCCCCCTAGTTTGGGAAATGCGCCATGTCTGAAAATGGGTGCTTTGAAACCCCGACACCCGAAACGACGAAGCCCGCAACTTGGTAGGTTTAGGGTTTAGGGTTTAGGGTTTAGGGTTTAGGGTTTAGGGTTTAGGGTTTAGGGTTTTGACCCCCTAAACATCGGGCAGGCTCTCGCCCCCGGCCTCGCCCACTGAAATGTCAGTTCCCAGAGCGGGCCCGTATTCTTTATCGAGGATGCCCAGTAGTACCCTTATTCCCTTTTTGGAGGGGTTTAGGTTCCCTGATTAAACCCCTTTAAGCAAAAAAGGACGTCCTGTTTAATCCTAAGTTACTGAGCTTCCTGGTTATCGTTTGGGGTAAGGCTCCCTTGTAAGTTCTTAACCCACAAAGTCCCCTCGGGGGATCCGGAATGGTAGGCAAGAGAGCCCCAGGCCCTGAATGTTTGGGCTTTAGGATTTACAACTCAGGGTCAAGATTCAAGTTTGGTTAAAACAGTCTAGTGGTGGTTGAGTAGGGCCGTAGGCCGAAGTGGATCCCGACTGAGCTTGTGATGTGGCGGTTTGGGGTCGATGGTTTGAGCCCCTTAAGCCCCCTAAGCCCGAATCCCTAAGCCCTGGATTTTGGTGCGCGTGTCATTCACGCGTCTCCCCTGTTTGGGAAGCAGGTCTGCACGAATTGCACCCCATTGTGTGGAGTGTGTTGCATCTTCCATCGCGTCCCGAAAATGAACAACTTACTGTAAGTTGGGGCGTTGGGGGCGTTTTCTGTCTGTTTGCTTTGTTTCTGTACCGTGCCAGTATTCAGACCAAGATCCGCACAGAACCCCTAAACCCTAAGCCCTAAGCCCTAAGCCCTAAACCCTAAAGCCTAAACCAGAACACCATCGACCAAAATCTGGCGTCGTGTGCTCCTCGTCTTTGGGATAGAGAGCGGCCTAGGATCCCGAAAAACTAGTACAAGAACTTTGGGGGAACCTGCAGTCGTTTTTGCGGGCTTAAGGCTTAGGGCTTAGGGTTTAGGGTTCAGGGTTCAGGCTTTAGACTTCAAGTAGGCTGTTTAAGCAACTTAATGAGCAAAGTTCATGGAGTCCCCAAACATTTTCTCCAGTTTCCTCCAGCAAGTCAAGGAGCTTCAAAGGATATCTTTGAACTGAAAATTCCCAAACTTAAAATCTTTCGGGAAGCCCGGAAGACCTTTCAGTCATTCCCTGAAATCTTGAAATTTCTCTCACTGCTATTGAACATGTAAGTTAAGTTGTGGCTACTTTCCTATGCAGGTGAATTAAAGAGTTTCTGGCTTTGTTTCAACATACGCAATATTCTCCTGAGAAATGTTGAGCTCAAGGCCTTGCACATAGGGTTTAGGGTTTAGGGTTTAGGGTTAGGGTTTAGGGTTTAGCTAGGGTTTAGGGTTTTAGGGTTTTAGGGTTTAGGGTTTAGGGTTTAGCAGAAGCCAAGCCGAGCGTCAAGGTCCTAAACCTTCGATTTTTCGAGCCCCAAACCCTCAACCCTTTAACTGGGTAAGAGGGGTTTAGGGTTTCGGGAAGGGGGGTTTAGGGTCTAGGGTTTAGGGTTTAGGGTCCAGGGTTTAGGGTGGGCAAGGGTCAGCAGGAAGCAGCACTGGCCTGAGACAAACCCCCAACCCTCGACCCCTAATTCCCAAACGTGTACCCGCAATGAGCGGAGTACTATAGGGGTTGGAATAATTACGAATCGTTTCCGCTTCTGGTCCCTTTGTAATTAAATATACCGAAATAACCCCCCAAAACCCTATCTTAATTATTCAGGCCACTAAATTAAGGAAAAGCCTAAAGCCTAAAGCCTAAAGCCTAAAGCCTAAAGCCTAAAGCCTAAAGCCTAAAGCCTAAAGCCTAAAGCCTAAAGCCTAAACCTTAAACCCTAAACCCAAAAAACACCTACACCCTAAACCTTAAACCCTAAACCCCAAAAAAAACCCTACACCCTAAACCCTAGACCCTAAATCCTAAACCCCCTAAACCCTAAACCCTATTCTCATTATTCACGCCCCTCTATTACCGGTGTGGGGGCTGGAGTGGAGTGTGGCGCGCCGCTTTTTAATGCCAGCTGCGGCTTGGCCAAGCTTGGGCCAAGCTCTTTACATCCGGCTTGGGGTTTAGGGTTTAGGGTTTAAGGTTTAGGGTTTAGGGTTTAGGGTTTAGGGTTTAGGATTCAGGGTTTAGGGTTTAGGGTTGGTACAGGTTTGGGGTTTAGGGCCCTAAGGGTCCATGTACACATTGTACACTTGGGCCCAAGAGTCCCTATATAGGCGGTACTTTAAGGCCCAAGTATTCCCATTTAGGTACATGGGGTGAGGATTCATGGCTTCTATGTCCTATTTGAATCGGGTTTGCGGTTGGGGGGCTCGAGTCTCGAGTTTCTTTCTTCATTATGCCGGAGTCGCTGGCACGTTTCCATTTCAGCAGTGCGATGAGAGAGGACAGGGGGCAGATGGCGTCCTGTTCTCACAAGTCGCTCTGGCCTGAACATGCCATGGGCGTTCTTTCCTTCCGAAATTTTTTGTTCAGTCTGCCTTGCGGTGCGGACGGGACGGCCTATCCAAGAGTCGAAAGGAACTGATCCAACGCCGGTCTGTACCCTCCGCACTGCACCCCATTCATCGGCTGACAGCTGGCCTTTGGAGCTACTAAGGAGGGGCCTTTAAAAATCATAAGAGGGCTTTGGGGGATATGATGGGATATGGTAGTCTAACTATAAAGGGCCTGTGAGAAATTGCCATTAGTCATGCTTCCGACCCCTGTACTACTCGAACATGTTGGAGATTCTTGGGAACCCTACCCTAAACCCCAAACCCTCACCCTTCAGCCCGAAACCCTAAACCCTAAACCCTAAACCCTCAACCCTCAACCCTAATCCCTCAACCCTCAACCCAAAAACTCGAAACCCGAAGCCCGAAACCGTAGACTTTAAGTTCCCAGAGAAACTTCTGAAGCTTGCAGCACCAGGATGCCAGCACCGGGCCTAAGACTCGGCAGCATCTGGATTTTTTTAAGGCGCAAGAGGGCCCAGCAGGCCTAAAGGAGAAGAAACGTAAAGACCCTTCACCCTTCACCCTAAACCCTAAACCCTAAACCCTCAACCCTAAACCCTAAGCACCAAGAAGGAAATGCAGCGCGGAGCTGCGCGGAACATCGGGATTTGGAGTTGACGGTGGGTTTAGGCAAGACTGCAAGGAAGCAGACACCGGAAATATTCTGCGACTTTGCATGAGGCGATGGCAATCGCATTCCTGCTTTCAATGTTCTGAGCGTGTGCTGCTTTGCAGGCAGCTGCTCAAACGCGAGCCAACAGTTTCTGGTATAGGGGAAACTGAGAGCTTCCTAGTTCAGGGGAGAGTAGGATGCGGCATAGGACCCTAGTGGCAGGACCCTTACCTTGCTGTGCTTTCTGGTCCTTCAGTAGGAATCCGGGAGGTAGGTGTCCTACTAACACCGCCCAGACCAGTAGTGTGATTGAGGTTTTTGGCCGTGTCACACACACCATGTGATGCAGGCATGGCCATGAGAGGCATTTGGGGCTTTGTTCTACATTGGGGCCCCTTTTGGGGTGTCAACTTCTGATCACCCGCGGCCCCGAAACCTTTGTACTGAAGGAGCCTGAAGAAGCAGAATAGGGTTTTGGGGGTTATTATCGCAGAGTCATCATATATAGGTCCGACCCCTGTAGTACCTGTGACAAGCAACTCAAACTCTAAACCCCGAAGCTTTTCGACCTTAAAACCCCTGCAGCCTTTTCCGTTTAACCTATATCCCCCTTGAGAATTGTTTTTTTCATTTTTGTTGATCTAAAACCCAAGAGGATATTAAACATATTACTTTTATTGAGCTTCCAAGGGGAGGATAGAACCAACTTGCGTTTGACGTCTGCATCTGCGGCGCACAGTCCGTCTAGGGCTCGAGGCGCAGGACTTTCCCACCGTGCCCGAAAACGCGGTGTAGGGTTCCGCGATAGGGTTTGGGTCTCGGGCTTGGGGATCAGAGGTGGGGTTGCGATGCTTAGGGGCTTCCCTAAACCCGAATCCCTAAACCCAAACCCTAAACTTTAAGGTTTTGAGGGGGGGACCAGTGTCTTGTAGCTGCTTGAGTGTTGGAAGCTTCAATCTCCGTTAAGACAGGTTGCAGGATGAGGGTTTAGGGTCTAGGTTTGGGGTTTAGGGTTTAGGGTCTAGGGTTTAGGGTTTAGGGTCTAGGGTTTAGGCTATAGGGCCCCAGAGTTCATGCTGAGCTTGCCGCTGGAGTACCTGAGGAGAGGCCGAAGCCCTGGAATTTTTTCAGGGGTGTTCTGTTACCTCAACTGGGGGCTTTACGAAGAAAGACCGTTAACGTAGACCCCAAAGTAACAGGACTCCTTTTTCAAAGGTACCCGTAATATCGTAAAACTTCAAACGGCCTGCAGACCACAAGAAAACCTGCCTGCTGCCCTGAAGCCCTCCGAAAGTTGGATTCGGGGGAGGGCTTCCAGGCTCTGTGCCCTGTGCCCGAAAGCACGACGGATTGAGGGTTTGGGTCTTTTTTAGGGTTTAGGGTTTAGGGTTTACGGTTTAGGGTGAGGGTTTAGGGTTCAGGGATGCCGCGCAACTTCAACCCCACTGCTCGCTCAAAGCAAACTGTGAAACTCCCAAATCAACCCTACTTGTGCCTGAAGAGTTTTAAAGTACTGTAGTCTTCTACGAGTATTTCCCAAAATAGGGGTACGCCTTTTAGACTCCACATAGACTAGAATCCATTTAAAGGGACCCCCCACAAAGGGTACCCCCTGTTTTCGGAAAGCCCCTCCTTAGGCTTGGATCCCTAGAAGCACCCGCGCTTCAAGTAGACCCAAACCCTAAAACCCTAAAACCCTAAAACCCTCAACCCTCAACCCTCAACCCTCAACCCTAAACCCTAAACCCTAAACCCTGCACCTTACAGCCACTTCGTTCAGGTCCTTTGCAGCTCTCTCCTCGGCCTTGGGACCCTCGGCCGGGGTCACAGGCTCCCATTCTTCTCCCACAGGTGCTCTAGAGCAAGGCCCCCTACCCCCCCCCCCCCTCTCTTTCGGGGTTTCTTACCAGTTCAGGGTTTAGGGTTTAGGGTTAGCAAAGCCCCAAACCCTGAAGGTTCATGGGTAGTTATAAGTAGGGTTACAAGTAAGGTAACTGTAGTTATCACCTTATTTAGGGTACTTAGAACCCTACACATAACTACCCATGAACTTCACAAGCCTCTTTGAAACCTTCTTACCCAAAACCCCAAGCCCGAAGCCGTCTTGGGGCTTCTTTCCTTTGTTGTGCTTTACTGTAACTTTACATCTGTAGCCTTTTTGGGCTTATTGGGTTTCTTAATAAGGCAGCTAGAAATTTAATTTATAGCTACCCTCCTAAGTGCAGCCAAGTTTCATCTAACGGAACAGGGCTCTTCTTGAATACGCTGCAAGATGGGAACTCGCAAGAGCTCTTGGGTTGGCACCTCAGTGCCTGACGTAAAGGGAGGTTTAGGGTTTAGGGTTTAGGGTTTAGGGTTTAGGGTTTAGGGTTTAGGGTTTAGGAATCCGGGTTTAGAGGCCTAGGCTCAAGGCTAGGCCTTGGCAATTGCTTCTAGCCTGCAAATTACAAGGCGCCAAGGCCCTTGAAACCCCTAAACCCTAAATCCTACGCTCTAAGCCCTAAAGTGTGAACTGGGATGCGAGGCGAACCTAAACCCTGAAGGGCCCTAAAACCGCCCAAACCCACACCGTAGCAGCACAACCCTATGGTAAGAGGGTGTCGGGGATTGCTTTTGTGGTGACCCTCTCCTTTCGGTCGAGGCCTGCCATATCGCCCCCAAACTCCCCCCAACCCTCAAACTATGCAGGGCTTAGTTCGGGTTTAGGGTTTAGGGTTTAGGGTTTAGGGTTTAGGGTTTAGGGTTTAGGGTTTAGGGTTTAGGGTTTAGGGCCAGTTCCAAAAGAGTAACTGGCAATGCAAGTAAGGGTCTGGTATAGTGATAGGTACCCTACGTATCACCCCACTGTTAAGTACCCATGAAATATAACTGCACTTATGACCCACTTATAACCCCATTAGGGTACTTAAGGGGCTTATAAGTGTGTTATAACTACACTTACAATTGGGTGGAAAGTGCTCTGAACCTCCAAGTAGGGCTCAAAGGCCTGGTAGAGAACGATCAGCATTGCCCAGGTGGACTGCCTCCCCGCCCTCTTGTCTGCTGCCAGGCCCGTACCTTAATTGGGGGTTTGCGATACTAGGGGTACCCTGTTTAGGGTTTAGGGTTTAGGGGTACCTTGTTAGGTTCTTGATTATGAGGCAATCCTACCTATTTTTTTTGGGGGGGGGGGGGGGTCCATATTAGGGGGGTCCCTGATTTTCGTAAACCCCGCAAGTTAAGGTGAAGGGGTTCAGGGGTCTCGGGTCTAGCAAAACTACACCCTAAACCCTTTACCTCGTAAAGAACGAGACAGTCAACAGCAAGGTTCGGGTGCGCTGCTAGGCGATCTGCGAACCCTTGTCGCGGACGACCCGATTCTTAGAGTTTGGGGAGTAGGCTTTGGGGTTTTGGGTTCATGGGCTTCTCTCTAAACCCTAAACCCTAAGTTGTGCGTAGAGCTTTTTTTTCCGGGGTCTGGCGTTTCGGCCTGGGGAGAGTCGGTCTTTCGTGGGTTCGTCAAGGGGGTATGAGCGACAAGCGAGTGTACTACAGGAGCCCGAATCATGTCCAAGATAATCCCCCTTAAAAGAACCACCGTGTGCGTGGTCTCTCTCAAAACGCCCTGCTTAAAAGGGCGACGCGAACCAAAACACTTCTCTTCGGGCTTCAGAGATTCCTGGGGGGTGGTGTGGTGGGGTCTGTCGAGTTATTTCAGTATTTCTCTGGGCGTTTTCTTGCCTTTCTGATCTTTGTAGTCTGTCAACGGCCTTGACAAGGAGGGTCCATCCACTCCGACCCAACACCCAGGCCCCTAAACCCTAAACCCTAAACCCTAAACCCTAAACCCTAAACCCTAAACCCTAAACCCTAAACCCTAAACCCTAAACCCTAAACCCTAAATTAGCCTAAACCCTAAGCCCTAAACCCTAAACCCCGTATAAGCCCTAAGCGCCCCGCGGGCGCTATTTGCGCTGGGCTTTGCGCAGGACATGCGAATCCTCCCCTGTGCCACAGCAGCCCAAGGCGGAGGCGGGGGCGCTGACTCCCTGTTCCTTTTGTGGGTTTCGGGTTTCGGGAGCTTAGGGTCCTTGGTTGTTTAAGGGCCTGGTGGTGGTTAGGGTCAGGGTTTCGGGTTTTAGCTAGTAAGGGTTGCGGACGTTGAGCTTCCGAGCCCTAAACCCTACCTTCTAGACTCCATGAAAGATGTCACACTGTGGCCCGGTTTTGCGTTGCTTTGAAGCCTTGAATCCCACTCCTTGAGTTCGGAAATCCTGGGAGCACTGAGCACCCCAGTTTTAACACTAGCCCTAGATCCTACAGGAACCGATGCTTCCAACGGGAGTGCCAAGAGTCTGCGAAGGGAAGACACCGCGAAGTGCATCGGGCTAGGTTCAGGGCTTTAAAGCCCGCAACTCTCGATCCTCCATCAGCCCAAGTTCGGCTGTTCATCGGTGGGGCTGTTTTTGTGGTAGCTGGCCTTGCAAGCCTAAACCCTAAACCCTAAACCCTCAACCATGAACCCTCAACCCTTCCAGGCAGATCCGGCATCAGGGTATCGGGGTTTACTCAGCCCATGATGCTTTAGTTTGAGCCCCTAAACCCTAAACCCTAAACCCTAAACCCTAAACCCTAAACCCTAAACCCTAAACCCTAAACCCTAAACCCTAAACCCTAAACCCTAAACCCTAAACCCTAAACCCCCCAAAAAAAAACCCTGAACCGAGGTTTGGAAGCTTTGGGCTAGGGGGGGGCTGCTTGAAGGTTTGGGGCTAGTGCAGGGGTCAGAAGGGGTTTAGCTCTTATAGTGTGTAGAGGCTAGAGGAATTCAACAAGAAGGCTATGTGAAAAAATAGTATGGCTTCAGGGTTTAGGGTTTAAGATTCCCTGACTTACCTCACTTTTCGCCCTAAACCCTAAGCCCTAAACCCTAAACCCTAAACCCTAAACCCTAAACCCTCAAGTAGGTGGCGGCGCATGCGCTGATCCTGCTGGAGTTGTTGGACGAGCAAGGAGCCACGCACTGCACATCATAGGCCTAAACCCAAAAGGGTTTAAGGTTTAGGGTTTAGGGTTCAGGGGTTTTATGGGTTCTGGTTTCAGGGTTTCGAGGATCCCTGGTGTCCTTGTATTTCAGTGAATAGGCAGCCAAAACCCACAAAGCGCTAAGCCCAGGACCAAACAAGCTTCCCCCTTTTCATGCCGGTCCCCAAAACCTAAACCTAGGCCCAAACCTCGGCCCTTACTCTCCCGTTTTAGGGCTCAGGTTCAGTCATAAGCCCCACAAAGGGGGCACTGTTTTTATTCCTAGGCTACTCTTGGGTTTCGTAAACCCCACATCCCCCAGGCCTACAAATTTGAATGGGAACCCCGAAACAGGGGGAACCCCAAGATTGTACTTGGAGGTTCATGGGTAGTTAGCAACGAATTCTGACTGTACTTAGAACCCACTTACAAGCCCCTCAAGTGCCCTAATGTGATTCTAAGTAGGTATAAGTACAGTTCTAGTTGATTAAGAAGTACCATGAACCCCCAAGAAAATACTAGAAAAACACGAGGAATCTACCTGCCCAGGGTGCTTTCTTTCCCTTTCTATTCCTACCATACTCTTTGGGGTTCCCTGTTTGGATCCTTTTGAACATGAGATTTTGGAAGGGCCTTCGAAGGGGTCACTTTTTGGGGTGCACCCCAGGTTCTGCTTTGCGTGTGAGCCTAGGGCTTGGCTGAGGCTCAGGGCTCAGGGCTTAGGGCTTAGGGTTTGGGGTTGAGGGTTCAGGGTTCGGGGCTTAGGGTTAAGGGTTGGGCTGTTCCCCTCCATACTGACAGCCCTTAGTAGGATGACGCGCATCTCCCGAAACCTGAGCCCTGAGCCCTGAGCCCTGAGCCGTAAACCCTGAGCCCTAAACCCTAAACCGTGGGCTCTTACCCCCTAAACCCTGAGACCCTCAGACCCCAAACCCCACCCCAAAACCCCATATTGGGTTCAAAGTCCCTCAAGAGAGCGCGAAAGCTTAGAAGGTTTCAGGGGTTTTAGGTTTTCAGGGTTCAGGGTTCAGGGTTTAGGGTTTAGGGTTTAGGGTTTCGGGTTTAGGTTTTCAGGGTTCAGGCATTAGGGTTTTAAGGGTTTAGGGCACGCAGGTCCTGGACACACCAGAACAGAAAAAACAAACGTTGCCTGTTGAAGGGGGGCAATGCGCGAGAAAGCTTCTCGCCCGTTTTACCCGGGTTCGTCTTGTTTGCAACTTTGCCTTGTTTTGGCAAATTGAGTTGTGTTACAGGCGGTTTCGGTTTTCAGTCGTAACCCTAAACCCTAAACCCTAAGCCCTAAGCCCAGAGCCCTAAGCCCTAAGCCCTAAGCCCTAAGCCCTAAGCCCTAAGCCCCCAAATTCGAACACCCACCCTCAAAACTCCTCCCAAGCCCTTAAAGCTCCTCCCCCAAGCCCTCAAAGTCCCCAAGCCCCCTAAACGCCCCGTAAACCCGAAAACTCCCAAAGCTCCCTGCCGCCTGCGGATGAGGCAGTCTGGATTCCCACTTCGAGGCTCCCTCGGGCGGACCTGGGGGGTTCGGGGTTTAGGGTTTAGGGGTGGGTTTAGGGTGTTTCTCGTGCTTCAGATGTTTAGGGTGTTTAGGGTTTTTTGGGGTTTAGGGGGTTTCAGCGTGTTCAGCGGACACTGCTCAGGAATACTTTTCACATGGTTTAACGGGCCCACCGTTCGTTCTTCGGATGGCTGCCTGTATTTGCGATTCGCACTTTAGATGATCATCGTTAGGATTTGTTGAACAGATATTCTTAAGGTTATTTTGGTTGTTTGTCATTCTGACTATTTGTGATTTTCGTGGTTGATGTCATGGTTGTCATTTTTGCTTCTATTGGATAATGCCTTTCATGCCCATTTTCGTTAGCACTAGTCTGTTCGTCGTCATCGTCATCGTCATCGTCATCGTCATCGTCATCGTCATCGTCATCGTCATCGTCATCGTCATCGTCATCATCATCATCATCATCATCATCATCATCATCATCATCATCATCATCATCATCATCATCATCATCATCATCATCATTGGTATGATGATGAACAATGTTGGGATGAAGGTTCGGCGGGGAGTTTGCACGCCACGCATGAACCTTCAAGTACCCCCTCTAAGTCATAAACCGCAACCTTGCTTGGGGTTCAGTTCTTGGGGGGGGGGTCTGCGGATGGCTTTCGGGCCGGCTCATCTAGCATTCAGGGTTTAGGGTTTAGGGTTTGGGATTTGGGAACTAAACCCTAGACCTTCAACGAACATTCGAGCTGCGACCTTGTTCCCCTCAAAGCCCTCAAACCTCCCAGAGCCTTAAACCCCCCAAAGCCCCTAAAGCCCCCGAAGCCTCCCCTAAACCGTTTTGACACCCTGAACTCCCGGGGCTTACACGCTCCCCGAGGCTGCCTTTGTCCGGCGGTGGCTGCATCCTGTCTGCTTGCGCTTGGCTCGGCTTCGACAGAAAGCCCCAACAGGCCGGTTGCGCGGGTTGACGATAAGGACATGAGTCTATGGCGACACGGCCAGTCTTGGCGGGGGCGAGGGGGTGGGGGAGAGTTTAGGGGGGTCGTCCCTCGCGCGGGAGGCGTTGGGGACCTGTTCTGTGCTCCCCGGACTCCTAAGGCCTGCAGCCACAGCGGATTATTCGAGGCCCTGTAAAACAAATCCTCCGAATCGTGGGGGCCAAACTGAAGCCCCAAATCCCGAGAATGTAAACGCCTAAGCTCATCATTGCTTGAAGGTGCATTGGTGCTTCAAAACCTTCAAAGTAAGCGTCAGGCCCTCGCCAAGGCCTCTGGCGCCTCAATGAGCCCCTGCTGGAGAGGCCTTGGGGGGAGTTTGAGGGGATTTTCGGAGTGCCGAGGTTTTCTTTGGTTTAGGGTTTCGGGTTTAGGATTTAGGGTTTCTACAGGGTTTTGAGGGTTATTTCTCCAGAGTTGTTTTGAGGTTGTCGGGGGTAGGGCCACCTACATCCCACCTCGTAAAAAGCAGGCTTGAAGGTATATTTGGGCCGGCTCGGAGGGGTGAAAGTGGCGGGGGTGGGGCTTGAGGTGTTCGGTGGTGTCGGAGTGAGATCAAGGCTTCATGGGGATGAGATTGAGGTGCAGGGTTCTTGATGGGGGTGTTTGGTTTCTAGAGTTTAGGGTTTGGATGCCATTATCAAGGGCTTTTCCGAGAGTTCAGGATTCCAGGCCCTCGGTAGTTGGGTTACTTGGCATGCAGTGGCTGCGCCAGTCCAAGGCCTTCATGTTACCAAAGTTCGCAGCGTGCACCAGTAGGCTTGGGTGTTAGTCAGGGCAAGGGAAGCCCTAAATTGAGGCATCCACGTTGTTTTACAATATGGGCCGCTATGAATCTGTAAACTTTAGAGGGTATCTTCCCCAGTGAAGGGACATTGCCAAACCCTCACCAGGCAGACGAGCCTGGGCCCTGGCCCTACCAGTGTGGCGCTCCAGCAATTTGCTGCCGGGGCCCGAGAGAGGGTGGCAGGGGCTTTCTGTGCCCCGAGTTTTGCACGGTTCGAGTGTGCCCTAACCATAAACCCCTAAACCCCTAAACCCCTAAACCCCTAAACCCCTAAACCCCTAAACCCCTAAACCCCTAAACCCCTAAACCCCTAAACCCCTAAACACCTAAACCCCTAAACCCCTAAACCCCTAAACCCCTAAACCCCTAAACCCCTAAACCCCTAAACCCCTAAACCCCTAAACCCCTAAACCCCTAAACCCCTAAACCCCTAAACCCCTAAACCCCTAAACCCCTAAACCCCTAAGCCCCTAAGCCCCTCAACGGTCCAAACCCTGAACCCTAACTGAGATGAGGTTCGCACGTGGGCAGCGCCCTCCGAGACTAAACTCCGAATCACCCCGTTCGCCTATTGTAAAGAGAGCATGCAACCAAGGGGCACCAAAGCGTGCACCCTCATCTTGTTACGATCTGGCTGGGCTGCCGAGTTCGTGTGCTGCTACATTCGTAGACCCGACGCAAAGTTCAAAACTCACTGGGTGAGCGTCCCTATTGTTTCACTGCACCTAGTGGGACAAAAGCCTTCTAGAATTCAAGGACAGGCACAAGTCCCATCGAGCCCCAAACAATGCCTAAGCCCGAGACACCCCCAGAACCCCAGCGCTAAACCCCTAATACCCCTAAACCCCTAAAGCCCAAACCCCACGACCCCTAACGACCCCTAAACCGCTGTCTAACGCCCAGGCCTTCATGTCTGACGCTTGGCCGAGTGCCGCTGAGCTTGAGGATGGGGTTGAGAGGTTTTCCGCTCCTTCGCTCAAGAGAGGGTTTACTATTATTATTATTATTCTTCTTCTTCTTCTTCTTCTTCTTCTTCTTCTTCTTCTTATTTTTATTATTATGATGAATAAATCGAAGAGGGTTTTGGGGGTTCTTATAGTACAATTCTCAAGGAACCGTAAGGGAAAACCCTTCGTAAATATTCCGACCCCTACATGAGAGGGCCTTTCCCGCTTTATGTGCCTTGGGGCCATGCCAGGGCTGCACGCTTTTCTGTCTCAGGACCCTACCACGGACCACGCGTTTTCCTTGTCGATCTGCGGGAGTCGGTCTAGGGTTCAGGGTTCAGGGTTCAGGGTTTAGGGTTTAGGGTGTAGGGTGTAGGGTTTAGGGTTTAGGGTTTGCCGCCCATGCAGGCGCCATGGAGAGACATGAGTACGCACACGCGCATGCACGCACACGCACATGCACACGCGCACGCACACGCACACGCAAAAGCACACGCATGGCTTCGAAGATGACCATCTTTTGCGATTCCCGGCATGCTTTCGCGGAAATGTGTGTCATTGTTGCAGCGAATCTCATCTCGGAGATCTCCTTTGAAGGGTTTAGAGTTCAAGCGGGTTTAAAAGGGATCAAAAGGGATTCAAAGGGTTCAACAAGGTTTAACAGGGTTAAAAAGGGTTTGGGGTTAAACATGGTCTCTAAGTCAGGGTTGCGTTGTAGGGTTTCGGTGGCCCGCAGTATCCCACAGCCGGATCAAGGCTTTGAAGCCCCATGAAAGGGCCCTAGGCCTTACAACCCCGATCTCCCAGCCCCTAAACCCCCCCTAAACCCTAAACCCTAAACCCTACACCCTAAACCCTAAACCCTAAACCCTAAACCCTAAACCCTAAACCCTAAACCCTAAACCGCTTAGACCCACAGAAAAAGAAAGCCATCTCCAGCTGCAAAGCGTAGACCCGAAAGGCCGAATATGCCCCCCGCAAAACGCAAACCCTAAACCCCGAATTACCCCTAAGGCCCTACAAACCCCTAAGCCCTAAACCCTAAACCCCGAGAAACCCCTAAACACCCCGAAAGCCCTAAAAAGCCCTAAACCCCTTACAAACCCTTTAAGGGGCCCTGAACAGCCCCTAAAGACCCCGCCCCCCCCCCCCCCCCCCCAAAAAAAAAGCCTATAAAGACCCTAGAACCCCCCTAAAAACGACCCAACAACCCATTCCCAAAAGACCCCCACAGACCCCCCAAAAGCCCCCCCGCACTGCCCTTCACCATCAAGGCTCGGCTCTCGGCACGCCGGGTATCCGGGCCTGGGCCGGTGTCCGTGGAGCCCAGGGAAGGGGGGGGTCTTGTTTGTTGGGGGTTTTCAGGTTTATAGGGTTAAGGGTGTAGGGTTTAGGTTTTGGGGTTTATGCAAACAGTTACTCGGACGGTCTCGAAGCATCCAAGTGAGGTTTTGGGGTTTAGGGTTTTGGGTTTAGGTTTTGGGGTTTAGGGTTTAAGGGTGGGGTGGGGGGCTCTTGCTTGTTGGGGTTTTAAGGTTTATAGGGTTTAGTGTTTAGGGTTTCGGTTTCAGGGTTTAGGGCTTAGGGAGCCCGGCGACTCAAAGGTTTAAGGTTTTACTCGTAGGGTTTTAAGATTTAGGGTTTAGGTTTAAGGGTTTTAAGTTTAGGGTCAAGAGCTTTCTTTGGGGTTTTGTGGTTTTCGGGCTTTTATGGTGGGGTTTTAAGGTTGAGGGTTAAGGGTTTAAGGGTTTGCGGTTTAGGCTTTTGCTTTGGGTTGTGGGTTTTGGGTTTTGGGTTTTGCGTTTTGGGTTTTGGGTTTCGGGTTTGGGGGGCTTTGCAGATTTCGGGTGTTAAGATGAGGATTCAGGAGGGGGGGGGTGGCGACTCGGGAGCTTAAGCTTTCGGGCGTGCGTGCAGGTTTAGGGTTCAGGGTTTGGGGTTCAGGGTTTAGGGTTTAGGGTTGTTGAGCGTAAGATCTGGGTTCAAAGTTCATTTTTATGGGCTTTGGGTTCGGGGGTTCAGGGTTTAGGGTTTGGGGTTTAGGGTTTAGGGTTTGGGGTTTAGGGTTCCGCAGTGGGGGTTAGTCGCCCTGGGCTTTGGCCCCAGCAAGCAGAAAGGCTTCAAAGGTTCGCATACGGCTCCCAGGGCTAAAAGGCTCCTTGACACAAAGGCGCTCGACACCCTGAACTCCCGACCCCCAGCCCGGAACCTCGAAAAACCCTAAAGCCTAAGCCCTAAGCCCTAAGCCCTAAGCCCTAAGCCCTAAACCCTAAACCTAAACCCTAAACCCTAAACCCTAAACCCTGAACCCTAAACCCCAAGCCCACCCTAAACCCTAAACCCTAAACCCTAAACCCTAAACCCTAAACCCTAAACCCTAAACCCTAAACCCTAAACCCTAAACCCTAAACCCTAAACCCTAAACCCTAAACCCTAAACCCTAAACCTCCAAAGCTCAATGCAGGAGCCGGTCTCCCTGAGCCTTGCAGCCTGGGCCGCGGCCGCACTGCGCAGACTCGGAGCCCAGGTTCCTGCTGTGGCGATGGGGGGTTTAGGGGGTGTTTAGGGTTTAGGGTTTAGGGTTTAGGGTTTAGGGTTTAGGGTTTACGGCGGACGGTGTTGAGGGATGAAGGTGTAGAGCGGCTTTGGGGTTTTGAGTCCGGGGTCAGTGTGTGGAAATGGAACCCTAAGCCTGAAACCCTAAACCCTAAACCCTAAACCCTAAACCCTAAACCCTAAACCCTAAACCCAAAACCCTAAACCCTAAACCCTAAACCCTAACCCTAAACCCTAAGCCCTAAACCCTAAACCCTAAACCCGTTTAGGGTTGGGAGTTTAGGGTTTGGGGCATCTCCCTGCCCCCAGACCAGGGAGCTTTCGCTTCTTTCGGGGCGGCAAAGAGTGCCACACCCTTCTGATCCTTTGATGAATGCACCAAAAAGTTAGAAAAACCTTTCCAAATCGAATGGTAGTTTGTAATACATATGTACGTATATACATAGAAACGTTGATGCATATGTGCATAGATACATAGATGCATAGTTACATATATACATACACATATATAGATTCATAGATACATAGACACATAGACACATAGATGCCATAGATACATAGATACATAGATACATAGATACATAGATACATAGATACATAGATACATAGATACATAGACACATAGATACATAGATACATATGTACATAGATACATATATACACATATACATATATACATATATACTTATATACATATATACATATATACAGATATGCGTATATGCGTATATGCATATATACATATATACATATATACATATATACATATATACATATATACTTATATACATATATACAGATATGCATGTATACATATATGCATATATACATATATACATATATACATACATGCATATATAATCATATATTCATATTTACATATATATACATCTCTCTCTCTATATATATATACATATGTATGTATGTATGTATGTCTGTCTGTATGTATGTACGTATATATATATATATATATACATAAAGATTTCTTCATCTATGTATTTATTTATCTATTTTTTATGTTTGTGTGTGCATGTATATTTTATGTATGTATGTATGTATTTATATTTTTTCTACATAAATTTTTCCATGCGCACACACATAAATAAATAGATAAATAAACCGATAGATAGATAAATAGATAGAACATAGAAATATAAGTGAATAAAAAGATAAATAAATACATAAAGATAAAGATAGAGAGAAAGATACAGATGAATATAAATCCAAAACATATATATCATAAAGATAAAGATAGAGAGAAAGATACAGATGAATATAAATCCAAAACATATATATATATATACACCTTTACACGCATACACACATACACATACACAAATTTATACATACATGTACATACACATGCATGTTGACCGAGATGCATTTACGCATCCGTGCATATATACTATATACGCGTATACGTATGTCCGCATATATGTATATATGTATATACGTATATACGTACTCACTTTTCACATAAACATATAAACCGATCTAGGGACCAAGGTGCAGTCTTTGAATCAGGGTATTGGTGGGTTTTTGGTTGGAAAAAAAACTTCGTTGGGATCGCGCCCCCCAGGGACCACGCAGCGTAACGGGATGCCCCTGTGCATGTTGATGGGCTTTTGCGCCAGGATTGTGTTTGTTCTGGGATGCAGGCGTTCTCAGCCCAAGAAAGTCTCAACGAGCAAGTTTTGGGCCATGAGTTCGTGCCTGAGGCCTTGTCCACAAGAGGCAAACCCAGCTACTACGGAGAGCTGGTCGATGGAGGCCTTGGCTTTGGCGCCGTAGGGCTGGGTAGTTCTAGAATGAAGAGGGGTTTTGACAGAACTACCGCTGAAACGAATGAGGATTACTAAAATTCCTTCGTGGCCTTTTGGAGATCAGGTTGTTTTCAAAATCCCAGAAGCCCTAAACTCGCATCAGGAGGCGTTTATGGGGCGTAGCAGTGCACGGGGCAGTCAGTGCAGGATCGTCAGGCCTCAACGTTTGTGGCCTGGGCAACTTGAGATGTCGTTTGTAAGGGTCCACTTCTCCACACCCTTAACAAAGTTGAAGGGTTCGGGCCCCAACAACAAACAAATCCCGAAACCCAAGACATTGTCGATCTTTGGGATGTTCTTGTGGGCTTGAAGCTTGCCGGCTCAAACTGGGGTTTAGGGTTTAGGGTGTCAGTTTCAGGCCGGTTTAGGGTGTGCACGGGCTCTCAGGGGGGTGGGGTGGGGACAGTTTTTCCTTGTCCCTCCTAAAGCTTAAACCGCACCCCCCCCGCCCCCTCCACCTGCGGGACATCTGCAGGAGCAACGCCACAGCAGCTGGTGCCAGTCTTCGCCATGCACTAAGGAGGGGCAATTTTGACCCTGAACCTTCAACCCTACAACACCCTAAACCCTAAACCCTAAACCCGAAATTCTAAACCGGAACCCTCAACCCTGAACCCTAAACCGGGGCCCGGATGGGAAACGCGCCGAAGACCTTATGCACTTCGACTACGTCAACGAGGTCCCGCTATTCGCCTCTTAAACGACTGCTTTAAGAAAATGCAGGGTTCCCTCAGGGAAACAGACCAACATTCCGACCCCTTTGCTTCTCGTTCCATTTTCTACTCTTGTGACGGGCGTGGTGCCAGAAGTATTGGGTTTTAGTAAAACTAAATAAATACAAGAAGAAATACAAAAAAAACACAAACGGGGAATGCAAGAAAAATACGAGCGCAGAAAAGCCAGCCGAACAAAGTGCAAGAAAAACACAAGAAAATTACAAAAAAAACACAAGCAACTTACAAGACAATACAAGAAAAATACCAAAAAAAAACACAAGAAAAATACAAGAAATATACAAGAAAAATACAAAAAAAAAAAACACAAGAAAATTACAAGAAAAATGCAAGAAAAGTACAAGAAAAACACAAGAGCAAATACAAGAAAAATACAAGAGGCGCGGAGGCGCGGGGGGGGGGGGGGGGGGGGGCTTGTGTTTTTGTCGTATTTTTTTCGTGTTTTTCGCGTATTTTTTCCGTATTTTTTCCGTGTTTTTTTCCGTCGATTTTTTCCGTATTTTTTTCGTGTTTTTTTCGTATTTTTTTCGGGTTTTTTTCGTGTTTTTCGCGGGGGGGGGGGGGCGGGGGGGGGGGGGGGGGGGGGGGCGGGGTGGGGGGGGGGGGGGGGGGGGGGGGGCGGGGGGGGGGGGGGGGGGTGGGTGGCTTAAATAGGGTCTATTTGGAAGCTGTGACTCGGGTTTTCTTATAGCCATACACGTTTCCACGAGGGTACGCTGCTGTCACGTCAGTCGTACTATGGTGGCCTCAGGAACAAGAACCAGGTAGTTCCTCTTTTCTCTTTTCTTTTTCTCCTCAACCCTAAAGTCGAAGGCTCTCGTGAACAGGAGAAGAGAAGGGAGAGAAGGAGGGAGAGATAAGAGGAACACAATTTTCATGGGAAGAGCCAAGAAAAGAATAGAAGAGAGATGAATAAAGGAGAGGGAGAGACAAAACAAGGCGCAAAGAAGATGGTACTCTGCTTTATCTATCCTGTCTCCCTTATCTCTCCGTTCCTTCTGTCTTTTCGAAATGAGAACAACAAAAAGAAAGAAGGGAAGTGAGAGAGGAGAGACAACAAGGAGGCCATTTTAATTTCCTGTGAGTTATCAAAAGGAATGCAATATTATGGGAAGAGCAATGGAAAAAAGAGTGGAAGAGAAATGAAGACAGGAGGGGGAGGTGCAAAAATAAGGCAAAGAGAAGATGGTGCCGTTTTCATCTCACCTCTCGTTCTTATCTTTCTCTTCTCTGGTTCTTTTCCCTGTGAAATAAAAAACCAAAGGAAGGACAATGAACATATAAAGGAACCCGTTTTCGTTTTCCGTTTGGGCACAAGGAAAAGAACAGAGGCGATAGGGCGAGAGGAGGGGTTTGCTGAAGCATGGGGAGGGTGTACGGGCAAGGAGCCAACTCCGCCCACTTCCCCCATCCATTGAAAGAAGAGAAGAAAGGAACAGGGCCTCCATTCCCCTCTTATTCTTCCTTTCTTGCGTTTTTGTCGTTTAGAGGGGAACAGGAGAAGAGGAGGGAGAGAGAAGAAGAGAGGAGAGATAAAAAGGGTTGCATTTCAATGGGAAGAGCAAAGAAAAGACTAGAAGAGAGATGAAGGGAGAAGAGGGAGAGACACAACAAGGCGCACAGAAAATGGGCAGATAAGAAGAGAGGAAAGGGAATGACTAAGTAAAATGAGGAGTTCTTCAATTTCCCTCCCTATCTCTTATGTTACTTTTCCTTCTTGTGGGGTGTCCCTTTCTCTCTTGAAGATGCAGAAAACGATTGAAAAGGACACCCGTTCCATCGCCCATATGTAGGGAAAGAGAGAGAATCATGAGCATCAGCTGGGCATGCTGCCAATCCAACATGGGCGTCCCTTTTAATCGCATTCTGTGTCCTTTTTTCTCGCTTGAAAATGCAGAAAACGATCCAAAAGCACATCTGTTGCAGGAAGAGAGAAGGAGAGAGGAGAGATACCAAGGATTGCATATTTAATGGGAAGAGCAAGGAAAAGAATAGAAGACAGATGAATAGAGAAGAGGGAGAGACAAAACAAGGCGCAGAGAAGATGGCACTCTTCTTTATCTATTCTCTCTCCCTTGTTTCTCCCTTCCCTCTTTCTTTTCGAAATGAGAAAAACAAAAAGGAAGAACTATGAGAAGGAGAAGGGTAAGGAAAGGAACAGAAGAGATAGGCCGAGAGGAGGAATATGATGGAGCATTGTGGAAAGGTCCACGCGCAGGGAGTCACCCTGTGCTTACCTTTCCACTGCTTTATCATATGAGTTCCTTTCTTGTGTGTTATCAGTTCAAAGGAAGCAGAAGAAGAGAAGGGAAAAGGAAGTGAGAGAGGAAAGATAACAAGGATGCTATGTTTCTCGAAGCGTGCTGCAAGGAATAGAAGAGACAGGAAGCAAGGAGACGGAATCACAATATAAGGCGCAAAGCTGTACATATCATCTCTCCCTTGTCTCTCCCTATTCCCTTTCGAACTAGAAAAAACCATTCTTGCTTTTCACAGATAGGTTCCCTCGCTCCTCTTCAGGAAATCCCCTTTCCCTTATGTTGCTTCTTTGAAGCGAATAAGAAAAATAGCAGATAAGAAGAGAGGAAAGGGTCAATTTCCCTCCCTATCTCTTGTGTTACTTTTCCTTCTTGTGGGGTGTCCGTTTTTCTCTTGAAGATGCAGAAAACGATTGAAAAGGACACCCGTTCCATCGCCCATATGTAGGGATCGAGAGAGAGAGAGAGAGAGAGAGAGAGAGAGAGAGAGAGAGAGAGAGAGAGAGAGAGAGAGAGAGAGAGAGAGAGAGAGAGAGGGAGAGAGAGAGAGAGAGAGAGAGAATCAGAATCATGAGCATCAGCTGGGTTTGCTGCCAATCCAACATGGGCGTCCCTTTTAATCGCCTTCTGTGTCTTCAAACGCGCAAAGGGGGCACCCTGAGTGTTTTCTTTTGGGTGTCCTTTTTAAGATGCAGAAAACGATCCAAAAGGACATCTGTTGCAGGAAGAGAGAAGGAGAGAGAAGAGATACCAAGGATTGCATATTTAATGGGAAGAGCAAAGAAAAGAATAGAAGACAGATTAATAGAGAAGAGGGAGAGACAAAACAAGGCGCAGAGAAGATGGCACTCTTCGTTATCTATTCTCTCTCCCTTGTTTCTCCCTTCCCTCTTTCTTTTCGAAATGAGAAAAACAAAAAGGAAGAACTATGAGAAGGAGAAGGGTAAGGAAAGGAACAGAAGAGATAGGCCGAGAGGAGGAATATGATGGAGCATTATGGAAAGGTCCACGCGCAGGGAGTCACCCTGTGCTTACCTTTCCACTGCCTTATCATATGAGTTCCTTTCTTGTGTTTTATCAGTTCAAAGGAAGCAGAAGAAGAGAAGGGAAAGGCAAAAATTGAGCCCAACATTTTAGGGACCAGGGCTTGCGATCTGACTCTTTGGAGCAAAAATCGATTCCAAAATCTTGGGGACCAGGGCTTGCGATGTTACTCTTTGGAGCAAGAAATAAGCCCAAAATCTTAGGGAGCAGGGCTTGCGATTTCACCTTTTGGGGCAAAAACTGGGCCCCAAATCTTAGGGACCAGGGCTTGCGATGTGTCTCTTTGGAGCAAAAGTTAAACCCAAAATCTTAGGGACCAGGGCTTGCGCTTTGACTCTGTGGAGCACAGATCGACCCCGAAATCTTAGGGACCAGGGCTTGCCATTGGCCTCTTTGGAGCAAAAATTGACCCCAAAATCTTAGGGATTCGACTCTTTGGCGCAAAAAATGAGCCCAGAATCTTAGGGACCAGGGCTTGCGATGTTACTCTTTGGAGCAAAAAGTGAACCCAAAATCTTAGGGACCAGGGCTTGCGATTTGACCTTTTGGAGCAAAAACTGGGCCCAAAATCTTAGGGACCAGGGCTTGCGACGCTACTCTTTGGAGCAAAAAAAATGCGCCCAAAATCTTAGGGACCAGGGCTTGCGATGTCACTCTTTGGAGCAAAAACTGGGCCCCAAATCTTAGGGACCAGGGCTTGCGATGTGACTCTTTGGAGCAAAAGTTAAACCCAAAATCTTAGGGACCAGGGCTTGCGATTTGACTCTTTGGAGGGGCAGGGTGGGCATGTAAATTCCTCTTCTCTCTTCCTCTTTCTTTTCCACAAGAAAGAAAACTGAGCTGGACTTGAGAAGGGGGAAGCTAAGAGACCCTCTCTGTCCTACGGTCTATGCTTCTCTCTATGCCTCGCCCTGTCTCACTCCGTCTTCCATTTCTACAAGACATGCCGCCCATAAAAGAAAAAAGAGAGAGCGAGAGAGAGGGAGACAGAACGAGCGAGCGAACCGGAAGAAGAAAGGAACAGGGAAGGAAGACATGCAAACTTCTCTTCTCTCTTCTCTTCTTGTCTTTTTCTTTAGAAAAAACTGATTGGGAGCATACCCTTTTCGAATATCTTACTTGGACGGTGCTTGCGATTTGTCTTTTGGGAGCACAGATTCTTTCAACATCTTAGGGGACAGCACTTGCGAATTGTGTGTTGGGTGCATAACTTCTTGGAGAATCTTAGGGGGACGGACAGTGCTCGCGATTTGTCTGTTGGGAACAAAAACTCTCTAAAAATCTTAGGTCTTCGGCCTGTTTTCTTTCAAGGTTTCTAAAAACTGGAAGTCTCCGGCGCGGGCGTCCTTTTAAGGTGAGTCTTGTTACAGAAAAAAGAAGAAAAGGACACCCTAATTTTGGATACATGTCACATCATGTCTTTCTTTTGTGTCCTCTTGCGCAAAGAAAAAAAACGAATGGAAGGCCGCAG